GAACGTAGAAACATTATCTGTACTAGGTACTGCAATTTCATTTCATCCTACGGATTTTTTTTACGAAAATTAAAGAATACAAAGAAGTAAGTAAAATGCATACAGAAACGAACATTCAAAACGAATATTCAATAATTTTATTTCAGAATTCATTGTATGAGTTGAAGGTCCGAGTTATAATGACCTTAAAGTCATTCAGACATTTTGGAATTTCAAATTTCTTACTGAAGTTTCTGAATCTTCGCTCCACCTACGATTTTCTTCTACTAATTGATGATTTTATGATTAACATGTAACGTGACTTTATGTTATTCATCATTTCGTTCTCAAGAAACACTCTTGATTTCAACGGTTTTCGTTAACGCGATTAAATTGTTTGAGACGAAACGTGTTGTTCCGTTCCGTTCTGCTTCTGGTCTTGTTCGCTTGTGGCAGCTGCTCCCGGAAGGCACGTCTACTTACGATTCTGCGTTCCCGGTGATTTGAATGCAACTTGCGCGGACGTCGACTCTCACCACGTGAGAGAATTCGTTCGGCTTGTTGCATTCGGGTAGAGAAAGAGTAAAACCAGTGAAAACCAAACGATGTTTTAAGGGTTGTACTTTTTATTGAAACTCGTTCATCATCATCATCACCATCATCATCCTCATCGTTGTTCGTCATAGTCGTCGTCATCGTCATCGTCGTTGTCATAATCATAGATGAAAAAAAAAAAAAAATGATTGCGGGAACCGGAAGGAGCTCAACTTTATTTACACGCACTCACTTATGCTTCCTTCGCGCTTATCTGACACGGGGCTGATCACAACGCGTGGATTGTCCATTAGCTATCTAAGATCAGGGACCAGGGAGATTAGTTCGTCTTAATTCCAAACGAAGAAGAAAAATCTCTACGAGATCGTATCAATCTCGATCGATCGTACGATAAGCAGAATTTTCGAGTTACGGGGGAACTATTGTCCGTGATCTCTCAACAATTAATACAAGGCAATAAAATAAAAAATAATATAATATAATATAAAATAATATAATATATATATATTTATATATATATATTTTTTTCCATCGCTTCTATATATTTCGTATAATAATATAGATTTCTTTATAAAATAAACTATCTGTTATAAAAATTTTTCTTCCGTTACAGCTTACGTATGCCTAATACGAGTTTATGCGATCTTCTCCTCGATGAAAGTCTAGTAATACGTGTGTTTCGTGCGTCGTTGATCGCGCGTTGCGTTACCACACGCTGGAACGATACTAAGAGAGAGAAGGAAAAAAAAATAAAATTGCACATCTAACAGGGGAAGATAGGAGGATATAGGCAAGGGAGATCCAAAAAAGAGGGGCAGGAAAGTATCTGCATCTATGTACTATGGATCTATTTACATCATACATCGCTTCGATCATTCGATCGTGTCGTTTGTCGCTTCTCGTCGATCGCAAAAGTCCTCCGTACACCCTCTATACAGGAAAAAACACATCGTTTCCTTTTTTTCTTTAATTCACATGATTCGTATTCATGAACATCATTAACGAAATAATTGATTCCTTCTTAATTACATTTCGAAGCTGTTGAAAACTTTTGAGAAATCTTAAGAAGACCAATGTCGTATCCATGTGAATTAATCGACGAACGAATTATTTTTTCGGGTCGATCGCTGGCTGGAACGACCAATTAATAGGATCGTAACTTATCCAAAAGGGTGTCGCCAGATCACGATGGATAAACTTTACGTACGATATTCCATCTCGCACTCTTTCTCTCGTTCGCTCTATGAGTATCACAATAATATCGTCCAACGGAACATCCGAAGCCTGCGTTCACGCAAGATTAATTCGCCTACGTGCTATATAGCTCTACGAAAACGTATTCGGTGGCTGCGGTTAATTGGCCGTGTTCTTGGCTTCGGATCGTGTATGAATGCCTACGATTTTAACGCGGATATAACGTCGATAGTTAGACCTTAAGGCTGTCCATAAGGACGACGGCGTTCAGAGGTGATACAGGCTTAGCGAAATTAATAAGTACGGGCTATATACATATGTACAACGATAAAACAACTCGGCGCTGTTGATATATAATTGTAGACCATCGATTATTGTCGTGGAATAGCGAGGGGTTCATTGTGAGGAAGATAGAGAACGATGATAACTTTTATGATAAATTTTATGATAAATTCCGTTCTGTTTAAGCGAGCTTTCATCAATGTCGAAAAAGAAATATGTCTTTCCTTCTACATCGTTCTATGTCTCCCATGTTTTTATATCACTCGACGAAGAGAAAATTTCTCGAAAGAGAATGCACAATTTTTCACAATTTAATTTCCTAAAGTGAGTGATTCCTGCGATCTGTTCGTTAGAACTGACGAACCAATTATTAATAATCATTCTTCCTTAATGTCCTTGGCAGCTATTCTCTTCATCCAAAATATGGACAATTTTTTTCTTGAAAAATGGATGTATTTAAACATTCGCAAGTCCATCGTGTTACACGTGAACCGTGAGTACTTGATGGGATCCTGAAGTCTGGCTAGTGCCCGGTTGCTGATGAGAAGAATACGTCGGCTCCTGAAGTTTGGGTTTGCTGTACGGCTTGTGGGGTCCTTCCTCGTACGTGAAACTGGCAGTATTGTTCCTGGCTTCCGCGCTCGGAGGTTTATAAAGCGGTGGCAAACGATGTCTACTGTCCTCGGAGACCATCTCTAAACTTTCTTCTGTCGCACCAAGAGCCAACGAAGTTCCAGACAGAGGTCTCACTACCGAGACCCTTGGTTCTCCTTGATCCTGATCTTTTAAAGGATTCGCGTATCTCCTCAGGTTCTCCTCGTTTTGAAGATTGTTCGACTTCTCGTCCAAATCGCTACGGTGTCGATGCAACGAGGTCTCGCTGCTGGTCGTTGCGGTCAAACTCGATCTCTGCCTGACCGTTTTAAGATACCACAGTCCACCAAACAGCGCGAGGACTAAAACTGTTGCCAGAGCTCCGCCTAGAACGGCCACGTAGCTACCGGCGCTGTTCGAGTTCACGGAACTTGGTTCGCTGAGCAAGGCCGTCTCCACTTTGACCTCCAGCACGGAGGCCAGAGCGAGAGGTCTGCCCAGAGGTCTGCTGAGAGCTTCGCCTAGATCTCTGGCGGCGTCCGCGGCTGCTTCGGAGAAGATAGTCACTTCCACTGTATCGTTGTCTCCAGGTTTAAGATCGCACAGAAGAACGATGGATTGTGGCCTTCTTGGATCAGCTAGTAGTTTCCTCAACCGTCTGCAGAGGATCTCGACGGATGTGCCTGTGGCGAGGGTGTCTCTTCTTAACAAAATGGTTAATCTGGAGCAGGTTGGACCTGGCGTGGCCTGTCCAGGCCAACAAGAAGGCGGCGCAGGCAAAGCAGGTGGTCCTACTCTTCTTCCGGTTTCTACTGGACGACATTCACCCCAAGCTGGACACGACGGAGCTAGACAACTCTCGCTTGGACTAGGTACGCAGACCTCGTGAGCTAGGCACGATGTACCGTTCAAACAGTTCCCAGGACCGCACCAGATATTGCTACATTGATTCTTGCCGGTTCTGCACTCGCAGATGTTGCAGTCGTCGTCCCAGCTGGCTACGGGACATCCTGGACCACCCGCGGTGCGGATCTCGCAGCGAACTCCGGTTCTTCCTGGCGGACAGATGCAGGAGTAGCTCGCTATACCGTCTACGCACGTTGATCCACTCATGCAGGGATCACTGGCGCATTCGTTCACGTTTATCCGACAATCAGGGCCAGTGAAACCTGGCGCACATTCGCACCTAAACCAATTGATTCCGTCTACGCATTTGCCTCCATTTAAACACGGTAAAGGTTGACAATCGTCTACGTCTCGACGACAGTTCGGACCCTCGAAACCTTCGCGACAGACGCATCTGTAATTGCCATCGGCGGTATTCACGCAGGTCGCTCCGTTCTCGCAAGGATTACTCGCGCACGCTGGCGACGCTATGTGACAGGCAGCCCCTTCCCATCCTGGAGGACAATGACAAGTGAATCCATCTCCACGGTCTTGACAAGTTCCACTGTGGCGACAGGTACCAGGTTCGCAGTGGCCGGCACGAAGGGCGCAGGTTTTCCCTTTCCAACCATCTCTGCAAATGCAGGTGAAGTCCGCCACTCCGTCCACGCAAGTGCCGTTGTTGCGACAAGGGGAGGTTGTGCACTCGTCTACGTCTAAAATGGAATCAATTGATAAATCTTATAAAGCTTTCAATGTTCTTAAATCATCTTTAACCTCTCGTGCTGGAAATGAATTTTTGCAGATGTTCGAATAACTCATCCAAAAGAACTCAAACAATAAATTCAGTCGACGTACTTTGCACGTCATCTCCAGTTTAGAGGAAAATAATAAGCATAGCCTGTCATTCCACTGCAAGAGGCTAAACGTAAATAGAATCGGTTTGGAAAAGATTTTTTACTCCAATTTTGAACATATCTGCTCACCTTGATCGCATAAATCTCCAGTCCATCCCTCCCTACAGATACACTGGAACGAGTTAACCAAATCGACGCACGTGCCGCCGTTCAAGCAAGGATTTCCTCTGCAGTCGTTGATGTTCTCGTGGCAGTGCATCCCTGTGTATCCAGGATCGCAAATACATCTACCGCCGCTGCATCTGCCTCTGCCTCCGCATGGTGTACCCTCGCTACCGCAGCCAGACTCTTCGTCCATGACGCCAAATTGTGGGTTATGAGCTGCCGGTTCGGAACAGTTCTTCCCTTGCCATTGTTCTGGACAGTGGCAATAGTAGTCCGTTTGCGTGTTGAAGCATGGCGCAGAATTTCTGCATGGATTCGGACTGCAGTGATCCCTGTCGATCTCGCATTGATATCCGGTGAAACCGACTGGACACACGCACTCGTAAGAGTTCACCAGGTCTCTGCATTCTCCGCCGTTTTGACAAGGCTTCGAGGCACACTCGTCGATGTCCACGTCGCAATCCTTGCCAGAATATCCCGCGGTACAGCTGCAGTGATAGTCGTCGACTAGGTCGATGCATAGCGCTCCGTGTTGACACTGACCGACGCAGTCGTTGATGTTCTTCGTGCAATTCTTCCCGGTGAAACCACTCCTGCAGCGACATCTAAAATCAGATTAACAGGATCGAGTTAAATAGACAACAGAGATCAAGTTAATGACCAATTTGAGAAAAATTTGTTCTCACTTCACTATCAATAACTTTTGGTATTGGCAGTACTTTTTCTTTTACATTTATCTAACATTAAAGTATCATT